ACGTATTGCTATAACTAGTTTCTTTTCATCTTAGAAAAATACATGACTACTGCAAAGTTTCAGGTAACTTTTCTAGGCAGGAAGTGTACACAGCTTGGCTAAGCAGTCTCCCACTCCTGCCTTAATTCACATTTCATCTCCTCGTCCTGGTGCTTCCTCCCCGGCTGAACCCAGCTGGGTCTATAAGCTCCTTACTAATCTTTTATTATCTCAAGGTACTGAAATACCTTTATTTGTGTATTTTAATTTGAAGTACAAAACTTTTTGGCCCTTTCTGTATTCTCTTTGAGCAAAATCCAAGAACATTCCTAATCCATTCTAGAAGCTAACAGTGTGATGGAATTGCTGCTTTCTCATACTCTTGATAAAAGTCCAAGATCCAGAGTAAACCAAGACTCTGTGACACACCTTGTTTTTATGTATTCCAGATTTCCAACTTAATATCAGATTTTACCTTCCAGCTTTTCATTTTCTCAAAGGTACTTTATGCCCTATAACAAGTTCTTAAAACAAAGGTCTTTATCCTTAAATAAACCACCACCAAAAATTGAGGAGCTCTAAGACTGAAGTTTAGAATTATTTGGATAATATGCATGGATGTAAATAATCACAAAAACAAATTTTGAAAGTACACAATAACCACTTATATAGAGAAAAAATACAAGTTAAACTTCTCTGTTCACCTCGACACATCTCATTTGTTAGGCTTCCCTTTGAAAAGTATCCTAAGTGCACACTAATGAAAACACTCTTTAAGAAACTCCTTTTCAGGGCTGGCATGGTGGTGCATCAGACTAAGCCACCGTCTGCAATGCTGGTCTGAGCCCTGTAGTTTCACTTCTGATCCAGCTCCCTGCTAATGTGCCTGGGAAGGCAGCAGAAGTCCAAGTACTTGGGCCTCTGACACCCCAATGAGAGCTCCAGGCTCCCCTGACACCCCAGTGAGAGCCCCAGCTTCCTCTGACACCCCAGTGAGCGCTCCAGGTTCCTCTGACACCCCAGTGAGAGCTCCAGGCTTGTCCTGTCTTCAGCGTGGTCCAGTCTGGTCATATGAAGAAGGGAGCAGACAGCAGATGAAAGATCATTTGATCTATCTCTCTTGCTGCCATTTTGGCTTTCAAATAAAAATAATGATATCTCTTTGTACCTTTTTCTTGCCACTCTGTGTTACTTTCCAAAGTGCATTATTTACAACACCACAAGCCAGCCTAGAGGGCCCTAGTAATCCCAATTCTGCACAGTAGCCCCCCCACCACGGCACTACAGTACTACAGCAAAAGGAATGGATTACCACAATCACTTGTAAAACTGAGTTAACCGAAAACAATGCTTTCCAATCCAGGATTCTCTTCTCTTCTTTCTTTTTCTCTCTTTCTCTCTCTCTCTCTCACACACACACCAGTTTTGCTAGAAGAAACCACCTGCCATCAGCCACATGCAAAGTCTCATGGACATTCAGACAGCTATATAGACAGACCCACAATGCAAGAAAATGACCCTTCTAGCCAATTCATGTGAGTTTGAGTCTTTGAGTCCTCCCGCCCCAGGCAAAAATCTGTTTAAAATTTCAGGAGACCCTGAGGCAGAAATATTGGACTAAGGCATTCCAGAATTACTAAGTTTCATATTATCATACAAAACATACCTGTTTTAAGTTACTGTGTTTTGGAATAATTTGTTGTAAAATCTCAGCAATGGATAAATAATCCCATGAGCAATGCCATCTTTCCCAATCAAGTTCCCAGAGTTGCCACTGTGGCAAGTTGGGTTAAGTCACCACCTGCAACACTGGGCTACAGAAGCGTGCTGGCTTGAGTCCTAGTTGCCCACTTACAACCCAGCTTCCTGCTAATGTGTCTGGGAAAACACCAGAAAATGACCAGAAAATTGGTAGAGTTTAAAAATTTCAAAAACAAGGCCCAGCGCAGTAGACTAGTGGCTAAAATCTTTGTCTTGCATGCACCAGGATCCCATATGGGTGCCGGTTCATGTCCCACCCAGCTCCCTGCTTGTGGCCTGGGAAAGTAGTTGAGGACGGCCCAATCCCTTGGGAACCTGCACCCACGTGGGAAACCAGGAAGAGGTTCCTGGCTCCTGGCTTCAGGTCAGCTCAGCTCCGGCCAATGCGGCCACTACGAGAGTGAATCATCCAACGGAACATCTTCTCTGTCTCTCCTCCTCTTATATATATATCTGACTTTCCAAAAAAAAGAATAAATCTTTAAGTTTTAAAAATAATTACAAATGGGATTATTAATTACAAAAACTAGGCAAAGTTTGTCTTAAAATTTTGAATAACACTGAAAGAAAATGACAATAACAGCAGCTTCCCAGTCCAACCTGATAAAACAACTAGCCAGTGGCCAGTGCTGTGGTGCAGTGGCTAAAGGGCACTGCATGCAATGCTGGCATCCCATATGGGTGCCATTTCAGGTCCCATCGGCTTCACTTCTGAGCTAGCTCATTGTTAATGTACCTGGGAAAGGAGTGAGGATGGCTCAAGGCCTTGGGCACCTGCACCCACGTGGGAGACCCACAAGTAGTTCCTGTCTCCCACTTCTGACTGTTACGGCCATCTGGGGAATTACCCAGTGAATGGAAGATCTCTCTCTCTCTCTCTCTCTCTCTCTCTCTCTCTCTCTCTCTCTCTCTCTCACACACACACACACACACACACACACACACACGAACCCTAACTTTCAAAGAAATCTTTAACAAAATCTAAAAAGATGTACTATTGAAAGGATATGACCTGTTTCTGGAGTAAAACAGTTTGAACAGGTAACTTGAAAGCACATCAATGTTTTTTAAGTTGGGAAGGAAATCAATTTGTAATTTACAAAACACAATATCCTATTTAACAATGATAAGACATCCCACAAGATCTCACTTACCAAATACAAGCTGATTCTAAAGCTTTATCGCAGCATAGACTGTATCACTGGTGTGCTGATTGGAACGTAAGAGCGATAAGGCCCAGATTTCAGCAACAGACTCCACTACCACTTGTAAGCACGGATTAGTCTGTTTCAGCAACATTTCCACATGAAAGCGAAAACACTTCACTGGACCACACCAGCACCCACTTTCCAAGGCCACGTAAGACTTCCTACAACAGGATTTCCTTCTAACAGAAGATCTATTTAAAAGTGCTCTTAGTCCACCGACAATTCACACATTAGTTTGATACTTTAAAACATCTTTCAAATCAATAATAAAAATGGAAATTCTCCTTTTTCTCAAGTGCAAAAAACGTTGATTTCACCAAGAGAATGAACCAGCTGCATTCCCAACAAAGTAAAATCGTTTTTACCTTGCATTAGATAACAGGGTAATTTACTAAATGATGTCTCTACTTATCTCCATTACATGTGTCTGCATTGATACTAAAAGCAAGTGAGCACCAACAACAGTCAAAATTAAAGCAGAGGCTTCTCTAAGAGTCACCTGACTCAAAGGCCAATCATTTAGCCGAAAACACTAAAACCACATTTAAAGTTGAGCTTCACATACACAATGAGCATCTGACTGCCACCTTGTCTCCTAACCCTTAACGTGTTTCTTCTGAACAAAGGAAACTTAAATTACTAGCTTCTCTCTCATATAACTTGCCTAATTAAATTGCATAGGTATTAATGATCTCTACTTATTGAAGTTTTTATGCCCTTTCCAAAAGATTTACAACCATGCTCAATTTAAAACTATTATCTTCTTTAAGAAATGCAGCCTTCCTGGTTTTGTTTATGGGGAAAGATTCCGAACATGACCATTCTAGTGACTGTCTAGAATGTTTTCCAAGCAGCATATTTTCAGAACCAAATATTTGTAAAACCACCTACTAAGTGCAGACAAAGATGACAAAGATGCTACCATTATTATGATTTCCTGAAATATGATTATAAAGTTAGTAACTGAATGGTCAGGGTTGCTGCTACAAGTACTGTAACTGGACAATGCAATCCTCCAACACTTTCAACTGCTTCACAATCCCCTGAACTGAAACAAGCAAGTGGTTACAAGGATCCCTGAGGCAGCACAGGTAAGTCCTGCTAAGGGGGTAGCCAACGCTCTTCATTCACACACACAGGACAGAGATCCGCTGCAAACGCCTCCGCTGAGTCAAACGCTCACTTCCCAACCACTCGGGAACGCAGGGCATGGCTACTCTACCCACCGACCACTCCAAGAGGGAAAGACCCAAACTTCTTAAACACTTTCAAGCACATCAGAACGTAACAGAAAATAACAGTGATGTGTTCTGTGTGGCGAAAAATATTTTACGCCTGAATGCACTCCTCTGCTCTCTGATTCTTCTAAACTTTGAGGCCTTGTGCCCAACCTCCGATGCTGCACTCGCTTTAAAAATACCCTTTAAAAAGAACATGTTCACTTAAAAATAGCTATGCTTTCAGCATTACAAGTCACTTTTAAGCAGAACTGTGGTTTTTATCGTAGAGCCACGGATTCCCACCCAACAAACAAACAAACAAACAAACAAAAAGCTTCCTAATCGATTTCATGCTTTCAACTTCTGGGACAAACCAAGCCTGCAGTTGCACGTCAGAGGTCCGGCGGCTGATCCACCCTTGCTCGTTCCTAGACAAGGCTTCCTCCGGCTGCTTCACCTAGCGCAGCTCGAAGGCGAATGGACACAGCCGGTGGACAGCATCCGCGCGGGGCGGGAGCGACACCCTCCGCTCCATCTTCGGGTAACAAACCGTTCGGAAAAGTTTCTCCCTGCCCGTGGCAGGACTTGCCGGCCTCCTGCCGGGCTGCCCGTCCCCATCGCGGCAGGTAGAGAGAGGGTGGCAGGGGGAAGAAGCACTGCGAATCCGCGCCCCCCCCAAAAAAAAACCCCCAAGCGCAACCGGCTGTTTGCCTCGGGCACGACCCGCGCCCGCCCGCACCCGTCGGGGACAGCGGCGAACGTCCCCACCCCGCCACACGCGCGCAGCTGTCCCAGGCGCGGGGGAAGGGAAGGCCCGGCCCGCCCCCCTCACCTTGGGCGATGGCAATGGACTCGAAGCGGTGCAGCTCCTTGAGCAGGCAGCTCCTCTCGGTGGAGTGCAGGCTGTAGATGAAGTCGCGCGCGCCCTGCGCCGTGTTGAGCGCCTCCATGGGCTCCTTCTTGGGGTGAGTGCCCAGCTGCCGGGGGCCTCCGGGGGCCGCGATGGCCGGCAGCCCCCGGCCGCAGCAGCACCAGGGCGGCGGCTGGGGCGCGGCGGCCGGGCCCGGCCTCAGGCTGCGCGCGGTCCGGCTCCTCAGCAGCGGCAGCAGCCGGGACATGGCGGGCTGAGGCGCGGGGAGCCCCCTCCTCGCACCCCTCCTCCCCGCCGCAGTCCGGGAAAGATTTCTGGAGCAGCTGAGCCGAGAGGAAGACGCCGGGCTCAGCCCGACCCCGCCCCGAGGTCCTCCTGACAGGCAGCCGAGGCGCCGGGCAACATGCACTCCGCGGGCCCGCGCGGCCGTCGCCTCCTCTTCCGTTCCCCCCCGCCTTCCACCAGCCGCCCTTCTCCCGCCTCCCTTCCCGAAGACTCGCGACGGATCCGGCGCTGCCGACGCGAAAAACTTTCTCCGAGGCGGCCGGGCCCGGGGAAGCTCCCTGCCGGGAAGGGCGGGAGGGTGGTGCGGGAGGGCGCCTCCCGGCTGAGGAGGAGCGGCGCGGGCGGGCGGCTTCGGTGTGGCTGTCAGTCTGCTCTTCCAGAGAGATGAGTCAGCCACGCGCCGCCCTCCGCCGGCGCCGCCCTCCCCGGCTGCCGGCTCTCCCACCCCTCGCCTCTCTCGTCCCCGCGCCCCAGGGCTCAGCGCCCTCAGAGCAGCCGCGCTCTCAGGCCGCAGCCACCGCAGCCGCCACCGCTCCCCTAGCGGCCGCCTCAGGAGGTGACGGGGCGGGGCCAAGGCAAGGGGGCGGACCCTGGGCGGGGCCACGCATGCGCGGTGCTCAGACCCGGGGCCGCGCTCGCCTCTAGAGAAGGAGCGCGCCCACGCGGCGGCCGCCCCCTGCGGCGCGCTAAGTTGGATGGAGAGACGCGCACCCCTCCTGAGCAGGCCTGTGCCACGTGGAAGCCATCGGCGGGCCCCGCTGGCGGGGGAGCAGCTGCCTGCTGGCCCAGCCAGCGCCTTGGCTAGGTCTGGAGCTTGCTCTGAAAGGTGCCCTGCTCTGGCCTTTGGGGAACACAGCGCCCAGCCGCGCCCTGGGCTGGGTCAGCACCCATCTGACGCAGAAGCAAGGCCCCGGTCCAGGGGGCTCTGTCTTCTCTGTCAGGTTTTCCCTCCCTGTGGGAAGGCCATGGCTGCTTTATCCCGACCTAATGACTGACTTAGGCACTCCCGGCTTAGAGGATCAGTCTACTTAAGAGACTAGATCTGATCAAGTAGGATCAAGGTGTAAGCCACGCTCCCCATCTGGTCCGCTGCCGCCCCTCGCCCCAGGCCTGTGTATAGCAGATGTGTAACTGAGCTTATTCCATGTGAAAAGTCTGGGACCACAGACCACCTGAGTTAGAAATGAGGCAGAGAGGTAAGTCACCCGTGCTTTCTCCAGCCCTACTCGGAATAAGGGAGTTTTTCCCCCCTTTTAATTTCAGGGCACTGCCTCTTTGTGCTGATAGTGGGGCACGCGCTGAGGGAAAAAACTCAATCGTATCACATTCCCAACAGCCTCTGCGACATGAGTTTTGTGTGCGGGTGCCAGAAACAAATTGCTAAAAATTTAGTCTGTGCCTCAGCTATTTCCGGGCTACACCTTACTGTTTGATTTTCACAGTAGGGATCGCTTAAAAATATAATACCTGCCCTTATTCACTCCTTTATGGCATCATCCACTTCCACAATGACCACGGGCTGGCTTAACCAGTAAATAGAACATCACAAACTAATCTGGTAAGGACTTGCTCTTCAAGAGGGGCCAGTGTCTTGCTTGTATTATTTAAGGATGTGAAATTCTGTTGTAAAGTAGTAAGGCAAACTAAAAGGAGAAGCAAGTTGCAATGAAATGTGTTATATGCACAGTAAATGAATATATATACATATATTTGTATATTTAAAAGGATAAAGAAAGAGTACTGCTCTAGATGTAAGTAGAAAGACAAAGGAAACTAAATATTAATAAAGTGGATCCAGACTTTTTCAATTTGCACAACCCCCTTACCCTTGGTGCCAGTAACCACCCTGTCTGCAGAGGAGCCTGGCACAGCGTTGAAGGACAGGACAGCGCAGCATTGGGCACACAGATGGGGCATATGTTCGTGGAACTTATCTCTTTCCTCTTTGCTCCTCACCCTGCTTGTTGTTTGCTTGGAGAGCTGTGATCATTTGCATACCCAGTGTGTTTTGAGGAAGGAGTTGCCTGGACAGTCCTTTCTCGAAGCTTCTTACATAGCAGCCGTCAGGCACATCTACAACTGCTGTCTCTTGAAGGTTCTAATGGCTGCATGTCTAGAATGACTCCCCGTGTGGCTAAGAGTAAACGGCACCTGGTGTTCGGCACGAAGTTCAGACATGAACCAGAGCATCTTGCTGCAACCCCTCTAGTGTGGCAAAGTTCCCATCTGACATCTGGCTTTCCCCAGAGTGAGTTTCTGAAAACAAACAGGCTCATAATGTTTTCGTTTAAAAAGTTATTTTGGGGCCCAGCACAGTAGCCTAGTGGCTAAAGTCCTCGCCTTGCATGAGCCAGGATCCCATATGGGCACCAGTTTATGTCCCAGCTCCTCTACTTCCCATCCAGCTCCCTATCTGTGGCCTGGGAAACCAGTGGAGGATGGCCCAAAGCCTTGGAACCCTGTAACCATGTGGGAGACCCAGAACTGTTACAGTCACTTGGGGGATGAGCCAGCTGATGAAAGAGCTTTCTCTCTAAATCTCCTTTTCTCTGTATATCTCCTTTTCCAATAAAAATAAATAAACTTTTTTTAAGTTATTTTTGTTTTGTAATTTAAAAGCAGGTAGGTAAAGGAGAGATCTTCTGTCCACTGATTCTCTCAAATGCCCACAACAGCCAGGGCCAAAAGCCAAAGCCAGGAACACAAAACCCACTCGGTCTCCCACAGGCATGGCTGGGACCCCCTCACTTAGCCACAGTCCGGCTTCCTCCCATTCTGGGTCTCCCACAGGCATGGCTGGGACCCCCTCATTTAGCCACAATCCAGCTTCCTCCCACAGACATGGCTGGGACCCCCTCACTTAGCCACAGTCCAGCTTCCTCCCATTCTGGGTCTCCCACAGACATGGCTGGGACCCCCTCACTTAGCCACAGTCCGGCTTCCTCCCGGTGTACACAGCAGCAAGATGCTGACTCAGAAGTAAAAGGGCTAGGAAGTGAAGCAGACACTCCCATATGCTACATGGCTATTCCAAGTAACAACTTAACAGTTGTGCCAGGCACCCACCATTATGCTCTTTTCCAGCCTGACCTTGGGCCGTTACTCCGGCTGTATCCTGCTGCCGGTGAAGACAGCCTAGAAGACCAACATAGATTCAAGGGAAAGGTGAATGGATTCTGCTCCCTCTCTCATACCCTCTCCCTTTCTCAATAGTGAAGAATTTGAGGACATGAGCCAGTGCCACGTAAGCCACCTTCTGCAGTGCCAGTATCCCTTATGAACAACAGGTTCCGACTGCTCCACTTTCAATCCAGCTCCCTGCTAATGTGACTGGAAGGCAGTGGAGGATGCTTGGTCCCCTGCACCTGTGTGGGAGACCCAGAAGCTCTCGGCTCCTGGCCTCAAATCAGCCCAGCTCCAGTGGTTGTAGCTGTTTTGGCAGTAAGCCAGTGTATAAGAGGAGATTTTATCTGCCTCCCTGTCTCTCTTTGTGACTCTGCCTTTCAAATAAAAAGATAAATCTTTCGTAAAGGACATATTTTATAACAGCAATATCAGAATGTAACTCAAACATCTTAATTTGATCTATATACTGCCAGTTCCTGCTGAGTTCAGAGCTCAAGAAGGGTGTGTGGAGTCGACTTTTTAAAAGAGATAAGGAGAAAAGATGGACCACTACAATTTCATGATCATAATGGATCATGCAAGAAATCTGTCCCTTTTATTTATACAAAAGCAGTCACAAACTTTTGCACAGACTTTTTACATCATGGGCAACCGGGGGTTCCCAAAGATAATTCTGCAAATTGTTTCACCTTAAAGCAGGACATTATCCATTCTGACCCTGCAGCCAGGAACTCCTCAGCAAGCAGTACATACCAGAAAAGTAATACTTTCCTATGTTACTCATTTTACAACTTATTGGGAGAAAATATATCACAGAAGGAAAAACCATAACGATCAGAAACAAAAAACTTTAAACATAAATTCCCACTACAACCACAGGCTTAACGACCCTAAATTAGTTTGAAAGCATGTTTTACAATGTTAGTACAAGCATTCTTGAGCTCTTCCAGCCATAGGGTCCTGGAGACAGCGGAGACAGCATGCATCATTAGAGGCTGGTTCACCAAGACATTATCAGCAACATTAACTCCCAAGTTCATATTGATTGTAAAAACCATCTTACAAAGGCAAGCAACAATGCTTCAATAGATTATAGAATTCTCAGCAGGGTGGTTGGGTGTCCATGCAAAAAAGGGGGCATTGAGGTGGTTGGAGAGACATCCGCCAGCCCATGCCATACAGCAGGAGGCTCCTCGCAGCCTTGCCAACAGAGGAACTGTTCTCTTCACACCTTCGCATCATTCCATCACACCCACTGCATGGATGCCAGCAATATACCTACCTGTATAGCTGACCTATGGAAAAGAGGTTTAAGGGAATAAACCAGCGTGCTCACTTTGCTTAATCGGTGGTAAAAGCTTCTACATTATGATCCAATGAAAACAAATCAGTTAATATATATAAAGACTCGAACACCAATTGAAACAAGGCAAGTGCTTAATAACTATAAGCTATTATTACCTATATTCCCACAAGCCTCTCAAACCTCTAATTTATATCTTTTGATTCTACTCTAATTTGAAAAACACCTACCAAGATAGCTGTAACTTAATAAATGCGTGTGTACACACTGCCTTCCCTTTACACTTCCTTTCCCTGGACACCTGAGTGCCCTTGAAATAAATAAATACATAGCGGGTAGGGAGCTTGCATCTGTTGTCAGAGCTGTGAAGAAGCACAGGATAAGGCAGGTGTAGATGTGGGTGGCACAGGGGTGGTTTTGAGGAAATATGACAACGCTGAAGAGGCAGCATTAGCAGGCTGGAGAGGGTGACAGAGTGGAAGGGGGTGGGGAGGGCTCAGAAGGCAGATTTGTCCTAGTGTCAACCCAGCTGCTCTTCTAAAGATGACAAACATCATACCTCGGTTAGTAACCGCAGTCCTCTCCCCCCGGAAAACAAAACGCTGCTGAATCATCATTCCACAGTAGGTTGCGCCTGAAAATACTCTCCACAGTCCCTGGCACCCCTGTTGCTGGCAGTATGCAAGGCCACCATTCATGATACATTATTCACCCACCTACTGCTGTCCACTATAAAATTCTTGAAATTTTCACTTTGGTAGGATCATTAATCACATCTTCTACCCACATTTTGCACTTTCTTTATTTCACTTCTCACCCATCAGATTCTTACCTTACTATCATGGCCCAGGAAGCCCCTGCCCCTCCAGGACTATGGTGAATCAACTGTTACTGCACAACAAAAGCCACAAAAATATTATTAGAAAACTTGGGAGGATGTTGGCCTGACTTGGCCTGAGCCCGTGAGTCTTCCCCACTGAGGCAATGTAAGAGGCAGAGGAGGCAGGAAAGTAGGGGTGTGGAAAGACAACCAGAGGATAATGTGTTGCTGTCCTCTTCATTCATAACATG